CCAGATTCCAATGCCTCACGCACCGCCTTTAATTCTTCATCTTGAAACGAGACATCTTCAACCTCTTGAATCCGGAGGGCCACTGGTACTGCTTGTATAGTCACCTCACGCACATACTCTTCATCCTGGACATATCCTTTGGAGGCTGGAATTTTAGTTAGGCGGGACAGAGCATCAGCAGTGTTCTCCCTGGAGGTCACATAGCGAACTCTGTAATTGAAAGGTTGCAACCGCAGCACCTACCGTTCTATGCGCGCGGATGGCTCTTAAGACCCTTGAGTAAATCGCCCCGACATCTTAACCAAAACTTTAGCTCGTCGTTTTTCAGCTAAGGAATATCGTCTCCTGTGAGTATCACGCGCAAAGTTCCATCAGAAGATCTGTGAGACGCCATTGTGGTTTTGTTTTGATCTGTGAACATTGGCCTACCAAGCCTCGCTTTCATGCATTCGCAACCAAGCCGTTTTCTCGCGGTGGCCATTTATGAATAAGGTCTATAAGCGGTAGATTTTTATAGCTTGAATTAAAATTTAAGTCATCTTTTAGTTCCTTCCTCTTGGTCTTCCATTTAATACAGAAACTTTTTTAATCCACTCAAATTAATTTTATATTTAGTGTGTAAATCAGAAAGTTTACAAGCCCACAAATACTCGCTCCTGGTACACACGAGATGACTGTGTTCTTCGCAACATGTATTTTTTCCGACACTTGAATCAAAATAGCTGACAAAAATAATGGGTATACAATCGATTGCAATTGATCGCTTTCACATTACTCATATAAGCTCCATAGTTTGCAATTTTTCACAATAATAATTTCAAGAGCGATGTGTCTATTATTAGATAAGCTTTAATGGTATAAGGCTTAAATCGTCGGGATATCTTTCAAATATAGTTTACGTTTTACTCGTAGATGGAGTGGACAGAACTAAAGGACCTCATGTTGTTGAGAGAGATCCTAACAAATGAACCCTTTAAATTCTAAGCTGGTTCTAAAGAGCGTGGCTCAGCATGGAGCCTAACTGCTCAAAATCTTAACACACATCCTGGATTTACAGTTTCTCAGAGAGCTGTCCGGGATCGTTACGGAATCCTCGAGAAAAAAGCAAAGAAGCGACAACGCGAAATTGAAAACGGCATTGGGATATCTCCCGAAGATTCGGAGCTTGATTTAGCCCTTGAAGAAATTATAGAAAAATGGGAAGCCGCTGAGCAAGAGTTCCAGACTGATTACCAAAACAAGGCAAAAAAACTTGAAAAGGACAAAGAAACAGCAGAAGAGATGCGGAAAATTTCCATGGAAACTTTTGGTGCTTCTAAGAAGAGGAAAGCTGAATCAGATGAGTCGCCGGAAGAGAAGCGATGTAAAAAGAGGAGAGGTGGCAGCGACACAGTCCAATTCTTAAAGGAGCATAGTGAGATGAGGTTTCAGTTTAAAAGAGAAGAAATTGAAGCTAAGAAAAATGAGCAGTCACTTTTAACTGAGCAACAGAAGCAACAGCAACAGATGATGTCCATGTTGCAGCAACAACTACAGCAACAGAATGAACAACAACAACTACATCAACAGCAGATGCGGCAACAACTGCAACAGGTGCAGACCATGTTTATGGAATCTCAGAAGCAGCAAGCGCAGCTTATGGCTACCTTATTTCAGAAAATGTCAGAACACAAATAGAGTGCAAGGTTATTGTCTTAAAACATTGTTTTAATAAGTCATTTAATGAATAATGTTTGCATCCTCCAGCAACTAATCTAGAACTTTGTTGTGTTATTGATAATTTAAAAAGTATTNTGTGGCTCCTTCAATCTTGTTTATCATGTTTTCATCAACAACAAGGGAACTAACAAGTGTCTCTTCAGAATGACTGAGGTTGTCAGGCCTGACAAAATCACTGCCTGAGTTTAACGGGAACCTGGGATAGGTTAACTCTGCTTCATCCATGTCAGCTCTTGGAATAGAAGAAATGTCAAATGTAGCCACAAAGTTTGCTTCAGTAAGAGTCAAGTGGTAGCTGCAAAGTGAGCCAATTTGGCTTTCACCAAATTTGGTCATAACACAACTTTTGGGAGTGGAATCATCTTTTGCCAGAACTGCTAAACCCATTTGTGGATTTATATTTTGAAGGGCTTTTTTCAGGTTAATTTCTGCTTGGACGTCATGCACAGGGTTTGACCTTGCATCATACAGTAAGCACTTCAATCCTTCTCTCCTTTTGGTATCATCCAACTGTGTTTTTGAAATGGTACCTTCCATCACGGGTTTAGCAGATATTTTGTCCCCACGACCCTTCTTGTGCCATCTTTGAAGCTGGGATGTACTGGCGAGATCTGGTTGTTCATCATCCTCCTGGCACAAATCTTCTGTGCTCTTGCTGTCAAATAAACTAAACTTGCACGCTTTAAACATTAAAGCAAGAAAGTGGTTACAATATCCCACTTTGCCAGCTTTGCGTGAACAGTTGGCATGTATGACTTGACCTGAGACAATGCACATGGCAAAACGAAGATCATGTGGAGCTTCACTTTTCCTGAAACTGTGATAGCAATTCGCTTTCAAATAAAAATACCCTTGGTCACTGTTCGCTTCTATTTCCTTTAGGTATTCGTCCTTCAGAAATATTTTTGCCTTCTTTAAATTAGTTGGAATTGAGTGGTGCTCGGCATTTGCGACTCGCTTTCCAGAATTTGCCACGTGCTGGATTATTTCGGCTCTTGTGAAACACGGCATCGTTTCAAGCGACTTTCCCCATCCACCGCTCAGGTATTTCACACTTGAGGTGACGGGAGAGACATAATTATTTGGTAGTAAACTCGAAAACCTTGCCTTCCTTTTCGTGTAAATTTCATATGCATCAGGGTCAATCAGCAATTTATGCCTTCCATTTTCAACGTAGTCTTGGACCCTGCAAAATAATAAAGCAATAATTCTCAACTGCACGTTTACTTAAACTCTAAACTGTACGTGATATCACTCACGAACTTAGCTCTCACCGTTTTACGAGCTGTGCTTTCGTCTTAAGACCCTTGAGTGAATCGCCCCGACATCTTAACCAAAACTTTAGCTCGTCGTTTTTCAGCTAAGGAATATCGTCTTCTGTGAGTATCACGCGCAAAGTTCCATCAGAAGATCTGTGAGACGCCATTGTGGTTTTGTTTTGATCTGTGAACATTGGCCTACCAAGCCTCGCTTTCATGCTCGTCCATGTCTTCATAATTAGCCGCGAAGAGACTCGAGAACGCTTAAGCCCGCGTTGTTGACCGCATACCCGCTGACGTAGCATTTCATTATTCAGCTCTGTCACTACCCGCTATATAGTTTTAAGCGGCCAGTGACATCCTGTTTTCATAAAAGGAAAGTGCGTTAAACTTTTACCTATGGCTATAAGCGATAATCTCTTGCAGCAGTTTTAATTTCAATGGCCTGCTCTCGTAATCTCGTCTGATGAACGGCTTAAGTATTCTGTATGTGTAAGGACTGGTGATGGGTCTGTACAGTGTTTGAGAATCCCCGCCAATCAGCCGCGTTAAGAACGAGCAAGTCCTTGGACGAGAGCCGGGAAGCATGCGGGGAGCCGCCTGCAAATGCACAGTAACATGAATTGCTAAAGTTGATTGAAATAAAAACATGCTATTAGTCGATCCGAAAGATGTATTCTCTCGTGTTTCTTACCAAAAACCTATCAAGGACATTTTCCGTTGTTCCAAGGGAAGACGACTTCGACTTGTTTAGAATTCTCTGCGGAGGGAAGAAATTGAAAGCAAACAATATGTCGTTGTAACTTGCTATGTCCATGAGAAAGAAGAAAAAGAGCTATTTTAACGTAAATGTCACATAAAAAAAATACAATTGTTTCACAACCTGTCTGTGAAGCTTTCCTTGCGAGTTATCTTCTGGGACTAAAGGCACAATTTCGCGATTCTGCGAGTGAAAGAAAAGAAAAATTAGAACACCCTGTTGACTGAAAGTCAGGCCTTCTTTTCAGGTACAACTTACGGCTGGCTAATAGGTTTTAGAGGATCTATCATTAACAGCTTTTCAATTTTACCTCAACAGGGATAACACCATCAGAAGTCAACTGATATCTTAAGGTGGACGTCACGGCATCTGAAACCGTCCTGTCAAGATCGAATAATTTCAATCCCTTGGATCTTTTAATCTGCGCCAGGCCAAAACAAAATAATGGTAAAAACAGAGAAACCAAACAGGCAAATTAACACTTAAAAAAAAAGGTATATAAACATGAGAAATATCAGAAACCCTGAAAAGCCTTACATCGATGCTTGTTTAAGGGTTTAACCTTTTAATCTCTTGGAGTGACCAGCCTCTGATTTCTCCTTACAATATCACCCCTGAATCAAATATTAAGGTCAGGAGAATAAAGGAAATGATCACCAACTAAAGAAGCTTTTGATTGTTAAACAAATTCTCCTTGTCAGCATCTTAGGAAATGTATAAAGAACGGTATGGAGAATATGCATACTGATAGTACGGTAGAAATGGTTCAAACAAATTTATCAGTTAGCTGCTGCCGATGGCGTTATAGACGGCTGTGTCCGAAAAAGGGGCGGTAAGGCGAAACCGAAACACGAGAACCTGCTTGCAAGCTGAACAGCGTACGGCAGTACGAGGTTTAGAGACGGCGGTAGACCAGTGGTAACCCATTTTCACTGAAACCTATGATGTTACGAACATTATTGAGAAACGTGTAATAACGTCTCCTACGGTCTCTCTTTTCTGTATCGTGTATACTCCAGAATATTTCATGAATACAAAACAGCAATGAA